AATATTGGGTAAATATAATAATTTTGGTAGTGATCTATGTCATTATAAATTATGTATACTCCCAATATTACCTTTTATAAATTCACCAAAGAAAAGTACGTAAAACTATTTGATTTACCATGAGAGATAATGGGTAGTGATGGAACTAGTAGCGAATACCACAAAACAATCTATCAAGTTAGTAACTTCAATTTTATTATAATTACAGGTTAAAATATGTCGATTTCATTACCAATCTATAAACTTACTTGTTGAGACCCTGAAGGGCTCCATATTTAGAGTTAAGAGTATATATGAGTAATGTTGATGTGAAATTTATAAATACTTCCATTTGGTTTCCAGGGTTAAATTCAACAAGTGGATACATAAATTTGAATATTTTAATTTATTGTTTCTACATTCATTATGTAGCTTAATATCTCCATGTATAAATAATAATTTATGTAAAGAATACCTACTCCAAAGTACTGCCAGAAAACTATAAAATTCACTGCCCAGATGAAGACTGCTTCCAAGGTTATCACGTGTAGACAGATTTTTTTATAGTCTGGAAAGTCTTCCCCAAGTCAAACAAACAAATTGAAATTAAAATCTTAAACATGGATCTGGTAATACTAAGTAAATTCTAATTTTAATTGGGAAAAAAGTACTAGTTTGAGGACCAGAGAACTTATTTTTTTTTAAGCTGATTTAGTCTTTCATACGTAAATTAAATTTCCCTTAGAGGTTTTAGGTAAGACTTCAACATAGTATCATTTGGCCTATATTAACGATATGATGGAGAGACTCGCGGAAATACAAACTAATGGAAAAGAAAGAAATTTAAACTGTTGAAAGGATTCCATGTCCTGGTTCCAAAACTGGTTTTATCTGACCACTATCACTTCTGTTCCATTTTATGTTTGAATAGGTACATTTGCATATTTTATACACCACTCTTAATAAACCCTCACTTTTTCTTGTGGCGTTGCCTAGAAGTGTGGTTGCATCTAAATTCCCTCGAGGAACCGATCCTATTGATAAGTCAGTTGCTGCTTACAGTGAAAGCTTTACTCTCTTCTACATAAACCCTCTAGTCTTTATAATCTTCTGTGTAGAGTATAATTAACTTTACTTATCCAGACAGTACAAATTCATTTTCTCAGGAGACTTGAAAGCTGGTTGAAAAGTATTTTAAAATACAGATACCGAATATTGTGTACAATTTTGGTTTTGCTAACAAGGTCCTTTTTTAATAGCTTTTTTGTTGTTTAAAATAAAGGTTTGTATTTACTTAGCTACATCAGACTATATTGCAATGTCATTACGTAAAATATGAATTCCAATAAAAAGCATTTCCACATTTGAACAGTTTTTTAAAAATACATTCAGAGTATGGTCCTATTTCCTTTTCTAGTCATTTTTCCAATAGTTTGTTAATAACTCATAAATATTTCTCCACCGATCTCATCAATCGTTTTATATTAAACCACCATGACAGTCACTGTACCATTTATAGCCCAGCATGACTCACCAGAACATTAGCCAATCACTTAGCATCAACAGGGCTTCCACATATTTACCTGAGGACATTCAGCAAAGCACGATATTCAAGAACCAACTTTGCAGGAAGGGGAAGAGAACTGCCAAAGTTTCTAAAATGTCAAAGCATTACCAACCTTCTGAGCAAATATCATCTATGTTGACTGGACAAGTCATGTTTCCTTCTAGTATAGATTTCCTTCATAATGTTAAGTGAAAAAGGAATTATGTGAAGTTAGGATACATGGGAAGCTGCACATAGAAGCGAATCTGAAAGCTAATTACACCCACTTATCTTACATTAGCCTGTTGCTCTCCAAAGATTAAATTATTATATGAGAGCCAGGAATATACTTAAAAGATGATGAACCTTTTCAGACCTTTGATTCTGGTTTGCATATGAAGACTGTGGCCGGGAAGACACTGGACTCCTAACAGGACACAATTCTGAGCATCATTCCACACAACATGCTTTATTTAAAGGATAAATTGGTCTGTTTATATATCTGCACCAAGAAGATATTCTTCCCTTAGATTTTCTGATAATTGCCTAGTAACTAAGTTCGATTGTGCAAAAGCAAATGTAGGTTTTATTTCTCCAGAAAGAACGATCTTTGCCGAAGGACACTGAACACTCCAAATAAGAACATAAGCATCAGTGACTCACCCGGGCGGCCTCCTAGGTGGACGGGGTGCGCAGCAGACAGGGACTGGCTGGTACCCCTACCTACAGTCTTTTTTTAATTCACAGCCTGCAGAATTTATGTTAAAAATCATAGCCTTTGTATTACACATGAAAGAAAATTTAAATTATGTATGTGAGGCAAAACTAAAACAGAAACACCTTAGCATTTACACTTAAAGTATTACCAGTGCAGCTTCTTAAACTGAATGTCTGAAGTGATCATCCGCAGCACTTGCGCTATCAGACTGTTTGTCTTCTTAAATATGCCCCAAAGCGGTTTGATGACAGCAAGACTCTGAAGAGCATCTAGTCCAAGTTCTTAGACATCATAAGCCCAACGCTTTGCAATGACCAATGAGCAAAACTAAAACAATTTTCTCCATTAGAAGTTTCAACCGCGATAACAAAAAATCATCTAATGGAATCCCCTTTGCTTAAACACTGTCAGTGTTACTGTCCAATAGGAATTTTAAGGAGCCATTTCTGCATTAAAAAAATGATTTCTTCACAGAGAAAGAGTGCTGTTAACTACTAGTCAAAATCCACAAAACTTCTCTGCGACACATCAGTAGAAAAACCCCTTTTCCAATCAAGAAGAGTTCTACCGATACAATAAAATTGTGAACACATGTTTTGTGCTAGAAAGTTTGGAATTTATAGCAAATAGTGTTGCGTATTATCACTATATTACACAGCAGTCAAACGTTTACCATTAAACCGCCTCTGAAATAGCAGTTTAGGTGTTCATTAAAACCCTCAATCTAGAGCGGCAAGCGTGAGGTGACACGGACAGCGAGTGTGCACAGAGCACAGCGAACGCCCTACCTTCATACAGGGCCTTAAAGCCTTGGGCACTCACGGCGAAGTCGGTCGTGAGCCACAGAGTCAGGATGGATCCTGCGCTGACGATCGGCGAGGGCAGCTGGAATCCTGATAACCTGGTTTCCGAAAGAGACAGGAATGTAGTTAAAAAGCATGAATTTGTCACTGAAGCTTATTTGATGAGTACACTTCGATTCCTCAGTCACCATGGTGCATTTATTGGAGGTATGCCATGAAACAGTTACATGATCCATACACAATTACATGTCAGGTCATTGAAATTAAACACATTCTACTTGCACAGTTTGTTTGTTTAAGCAATTTTGGAGAAGGAACCACGATACACCATTTCCTCAAAGAGAGCCCACAGACCTGAACACAATGAACGGTCACCTCAAGCACGCAACACCAAACAATAGGGTTTTGCATGTGTTTCTGAATTTGTTATCTTCCTCCTAAACTATCACACAGCGGGTGGTCACATCTCACAGCTAATGTGCTTATTCTCAATAGTTCCTCCAAAGAAGTTGCAGTGTTTTTTAGGAAAGAGAATACATTCTAGTCCCAGCATGATAAGTAAAATCAATGACTCCTTTAGCAGAGGTCAAATGAATTGATTTTAATGTCTGGTTTTCAACACAAATCTTCTGGAATCTAAGGCGTTCTTCACCTATCACTAGATTGGGAAATACTCAGAAAGTTTAATGATGAGGAGATCAGAACTCTGAATGAGTGGATTAGTATAAAATATGCATAACACTGGACAAAAGAATGTTCTTCAAAAGATCAAAGAGACACTTCATCAATGTATTATTTGCTAATAAATTCATTTGTTGACAGAGATGTGGCTGAGTGTTGTCTGAACAAAACAGTCCGATGCCAGAAGGAATCAACCTGACTGTTCTTCCCCCCAAGGAGAGGTCCTGGCTCGCCAGTGAGTTAGGGCACTAAGTGCCTCATCAGAGCTGCTGCCTGCTTGGGAATCAAACCAGAAGCTCAACAGAAAAATGAACAGGGTAGCCATCAATCCTCGAAGGGCACACTGCTAAATAACCCAGGGACAGAAGAGCAAGTCTCAAGGGAAATGAAAGAAAACTTCGAACTAAACGAAAATAAAAATCCAAAATATCAAAATTTGGAGGACCCAGCTAAGCATGAGAGGGAAAATAAGGGTACTAAAAATATACAAATCCTCGTATCAATCGTCTATGCGCCTGTCTCAAGAACAGAGAAAAGCAAGAGTAAAATAAACTAAACAGAAGGCAAGAAAAAGAGGTAAGTGCACAAGGCAGTGGCATTTAAAACAGAAAAATAAGAGGGCAAAACAGTAAGACAGAGAGCTAATTCTTTGCAGAGATTGACAAAATTAACAAACATCTATCAAGATCCACCAAAAAAACAAGGGCAGTGGGAGAAGTTACAAATACCTAATATCAGGAAGGAAACAGCATCATCACTAGAATCCCCAGAGGCATCAGAAATATAAGGAAATACTACAGAAACTACACACGTAAACTTGACAATTTAAGGAAACTTCTTAAAAAAAAAAAAACAACTACCCAAACTCACTCAATATGAAACAGAAATTGTGAATAACTCTATAATTAGTGAAACTCTCCCCAAAGAAACCTCCAGGCCTGTGTGGGGTTTACAGAATTCTACTACCACAGATTGAATGTCTGAGTCCCTCCAAAATTCATATGTTGAAACCTAACCCTCCATGTGATGGTATTTGGAGGGGGGATATTTGGGGGATGATCAGGCTGGAGCCCGGATGAGTGGGATTGGTGCCCTTCTGAAGGGGACCCCAGAGAGCTCCCCGGCCTCCTCTGATGCAAGGAGGCACGGACGCGTCCATAAGCCAGGAATCAGGCCACCACCAGACACGGATTCAGCTGGCACCTTGATCTTGGGCTTCCCTGTCTCAACAAGTGCGAGACGTATATGGGTGTTGTTCATAAGCATCCCGATCTGTGGTATTCTGTTACATGCAGTAAGACAGCTAAGACCCAAAGGCATTAAGACATCACTAAACATTTAAAGAATTAACACCAATTTTATACAATCTTTTCCAGAAAATAACAGATGTAGTTTATAGCATTAATATTACTTTGTGCTATGGACCGAATCATTGGCCACCCAAATTCCTATGTTGAGCCCTAACTCCCAATGTAACTGTACTTGGGGATAGGGCTTTTAGGAGGTAATGAGGATGAAATAAGGTTGTAAATGTGGGGTGCTACCCTGATAGAGCTGGGATTTCTAAGAACCCCCCTTCCCCCACATGCATGCACTGAGTAAAGGCCACATGAGCACATGGAGATGGGGCAGGTGTCTGCAGGCCAGGGAGGGAGTCCTCACCTGAACTTGACCGTGCTGCACTCTGATCTTGGTTATCCAGCCCCCAGAACTGTGAGGAAAGAAACTTCTGCTGTTTAAGCCACCCCGTCTGTGGTATTATTTTGTGTCAGACCAAGCTAACAGACCCTGGTAGCAAAACCAGTCAAAGGCAACACAAAAAAGAAAACAACAGACCAGTATTCTTCATAAATGTGGACGCAAAAATCCTTAACAAAGTAAGAGATAATAGAAGAAAGCAACACATAACACGAATTATTCAACACGACCAGTGGTGTTTATTCCAGGGATGTAAAGATGGTTCAACATTTGAAAAGTCTGTCAATTTAATTTGCCATAATAACAGGCTAAAGAATGGAATCACAAGATCATAATAATCTATGTAGAAAAAGCCATTTGACAGATTTAAACATCCAATCTTAAAGAAACCTCCCTAATATATAAATGGAGGAAAATTTGCCCAACCTGACAGTGAGTATGTACCAAACATTTAACAGCTAACATTATATTTAATGGAAAAAGACTGAATGCTTCTCCCTAAGAGAGAGAACAAGGCAAAATGTCTGTTCTTTCCACTTTCATTCAGCATTGTGCTGGACGATGTAGGCAGGGCAACACACCACCAGGAAATACGGACGTACAGATCGGGAAGGAAGAGCACGAGCAGCCCTATTTGCAGATGACACAGTCATCTACACAGACTATGTCAAAGAGTCTATAAGGAAAGTCCTAGTGATCCTTGAAATGACCATGTGCACAGGACAGAAAAAGACCATTATGACATCTAATTGTATTTCTACATGTTAGAGTGAACACATGGCCACTGAAATTAAAAATTACAATATCATTTACATTCATTTGAAAAAATGCTTAGATGTAACAAAACAGGTACAAAACTGTATCCCGACAAGTATAAAATGCTGAAGAGAGAAATCATTTAAAAAATGGGGAAATCTACCATGCTGATAGATTGGAAGATTTAACACTGCAAAGATATGAATTATCCCCAGGTCTATACGCAGGTTAAAACAATTTCTTTCAAAATCCCAGCAAAATTTTTTTGTATAGACAAGATTCTTCTATATTCTATATGGAAATACCCCCAACCAAAAGAAAAAAAAGAAAGAAGAGCTTAAACAATTTGGAAAAGAATACAATAGGAAGAATCAGTCCATACCTTTGTGCAAGGCTATTTAATAGGTACAGTATCTTGATTACTATCACGACCCTGTGGTAATATGGGCAGGAGACAGACCCAGACAACACTGGACCAGAACAGAACCCAGACACAGACCCGTGTAGGTACATCCAGCCAGCTTTTGACATGATGCTAAGACAAATCAATGGAGCAAAGCAGCTTTTCAACAAATGGATGTCCACAGACAAAAATAACACAACAAGGAGTCTATCCAGATCTAACCACCACACATAATGATGAATATGAACCCCAGGTGTGAATGTAAAATACAAAACCATACAAATTAGCACAAAACACAGGGGAAATTCTTTAGGATCCAGAACCAGCCAAAGAGCTTCTATACTGGACACCAAAAACATAATCCATAGAGGGAAGAACTGGTACAACAGACTTCCTAAAAAATAAAGGCTTCTGCTGCCCTGCAAAGACCCTGCCAGGTGGATGAAAAGACAAGTGGTAAACTGGGAGAAAATACTCACAAACCACAATGCTGACAAAGTACAAGTGTCTAGAAAATACAAAGAGCTTTAAAGACTCAACAGATAAAGAACAAACGATCCAATTAGAAAACAGGCAAAAGACGTGATGAGTCATGTCATCTAAAAGGAGATACAGATGGCAAGTAAGCACACAAAAAAGATTTTCAACATCATCAGTCTTTGGGGGAATGCGAATTAAAGCCACCGAGATCTATTACTCCATACCTACTCAACACGGCTAGAATGAAAAAAGAAAAACAGTGTCGATACCATAAGCTGGCTAGAACGTGGAGAAAATGGATTGCTCATATATTGTTAGTGGGCACAGCCACCCTGGAAAACAGTTTGACAGTTTCTTAAAAAAAGTAAACAAGCAACTACCATAGGAGAAAATAATCAATCCCCTGGGCATCTACCCAGAGAGACACAGGCGTCTGCTGGCACAGACCTGTACGTGAGCGTCTACAGAAGCTTTCATCTTCATGATCAAAAACCAAAATAACCCCTACGCCAGGCAAGAGGTGAATGGCTCACCAGCGTGTGTTACTACCCGGCCACCAAGAGAAATAACTATTGGCGAGAGCGCCAGGATGGATCTCCAGGGAATGATGCAGAGCGGGGAAAAGTTAACCCTAAAAGGTTACGTACTGCACGGTCCCCTTTTTAAACATTCTTGAAATGGCAGGATTATTAAAAAGGAAAACAGATGTTTCGTGGCCAGGAGTGAAGCAGCGGTAGGGGGCAGGCGAGACGTGGGTGTGGCAATAAAGAAATGCGAGGCACTCTTACCATGCTGGGAAGCGGGCTGTGTCTGCTCCGTTTCAAAGGCAATACTCCGGCGGCATTACTGTAAGATGCTACCCTTGGTGGGAGCAGGGTGAGGAGTGTCCAGGGCCTCTCTGTGTTATTTCCTACAACTGCGTGTATGCCCATAATTACCTCAAATGTAAAAGTTCCATCAAACAATAGGTCACAGGGTATGGGACTGAAAAGCACTCAGGAGAACATTAAGAGAAATTAAAATAATCGTAGTAGTAGAAACCCCTGAAAAACACAGTAATAAAACATTCTCATTAGGCTT